AATTATAACCAGTGGTTACCAAAATCTTTGATATATTCATTCTTTTCTAACACCAAGCCTCATTCTATATACAAGTATAATTATTCTATTTCACTTCATTCTCAATACATCAATAATGTCCTATTACCTATATTTTGAACGTCCTTTCCTAACAATTTTCTAAGGAGTCTTTCATTTCCCACAGGTGTACGTTATTATCAAAAAAAAAAAAAAAAGTTAATACTTTTTGTTTGTTTAACTGAATCCAGAAAGTTTTTACTTTTACTTGTATGTACTGGGACTGAGCTATACACTAAGTCAATTAAGACACTGAAATTCTAAGTCTTCCACAATATGGTTAGCCTACAGTCACTGTCTTATTTCCCACAAAACCTTCACTCCAAGCACACAAATTATTTTCAACTTTCCCAAAACTTAATGTGCACATTAAAGAATGTAGTGCCTTTCTTCAAGTTATTCTCTTTGCCTAACAGAAGCTTTCCAGCCTCTTGTCCAACCCATATAGGATTCCTTCACAGTTTAGCAGAAAGAGCTAATGTCATCCATATACCACATACCAATGTTGCCTGACCAGAATTAATCCCTCTCTTCATTATCCTTTCACAAACCATTATGCAAAACTGCTTGAAGACAGTCTCTGACCTTATGATTGTGCAGCACGATCTCTATACTATGAGGCTTCTGGAGCTATGTGAGCACTCTAACAAGATACTTGGCACAAAGAGCATAAAATGGAAGTTTGTCAAATTGAATTGTGGACCTCATGTATTTTAAATATTGGTGCAAATGAGTTGCAAATGACAAGCATTTCAGTAAATATAAACATATATATTTTTTTTTTCATTTTTGCAAGCCTAAGAATTCATTTGTTCAAGACTACTCGCTTATCTATGTTCCACATTATCTAATCAAAGGTGCTTACCTCCTACTCAAATAACCAGTAATGGTTTTAGTCACAGACATTGTAAATGTCTACTCCATTTAGAAGCATGATACTAGGTAGGATAGCTATTTTAAGTAAAAAAAAACAAAAACAAAAAAAAAAAACAAAAAAACTATAAAGCCATTTATTAAATCACATATTTTATATAGTATATAATTTAAAAAATGTCTCTTAGTTCAAATCTTTATAGAAAATTTATCAGTTGAAAAGTTATTCCTAGGAAATACTTCATTCAGAGAAATACCAATTACTTGATATCATAAAGTTGCCAAATTTATCATCTAGTTGTCTTTTTTACCCATGATATATTTGCGAAACCAACTCAAGTAGTGTCTCTGAAAAAAAGTCAACTTTAGTTAAAATGGCCATTCATATTAGCATGCTTCAATAAACCTGACAACCTGAAAAAAGTCATACAATTTCAAATAGATGTAATTACAATTTTAATAGATATAAATGGTAGTTTAAATGTTATAAACTGAGACAAAAAAAATTCTTTTTTAAAAAGATTTATTTATCTGAGAGTGTGAGAAAGAGAGAGAGAGAGGAAAAATGGGGGACAGGGGGACAGAGGGAGAGGGGAAAAGGAGGCTCAAGCAGACTCTATGCTGAGTGTGGAGCCTAATGGAGGGGCTTGATCTCACAACCCTGAGATCATGACCTGAGTCGAAACCAGGAGTTGGACACTTAATTGGATGCATCACTCAGGTACCCCTTCAAAAAATATTTCTAAGGTATCTAAATACTGCTGTTTATTGGACTATAAGTGTTTTTATACAGATCATACAGACATGAAAATTACATTTTACTTGGTTACCAGGAACATTACGCACATTAAGCATTGAATAATTTCTGAGATATTGGTGACCAGCAACACTATAGTTTGTTCTAACAGAAAATACTACTAAAGCATAAGGCTTAAGTGGAAGAAACCAAAACAGTGATAGCCTTGTCTTATTTTTACACATGTGAAGAATTTTATGAATACTGCAGCATTTCTCAGGTATAGGTGGAACCAAGTTTAACCCTCAATTGTTTCATTTAATAGCTATATAAATGTGGATGAATTACTCAAACACTCTGAATCTCTGCTTCTTCATTGTTAAACTGGGAATGATGATTCTCAGAGTTTCTGTAAGATTTGAAAGTGCTCAATAAATATTCTCTTAAAATGTTATAAACTGATTTTAAATAGATTTTAAATTATTTAACTAACATTCATGATTTCTCATTCTATTTTTAAAGCCTTTTTCAAAGTTCTTCATCCTTACTATTTCCTTGTTTTAACCTATAAAGAGCTTTAAGTAAACTTCATTCTCGTCAGTAATATACCCACTTCACTAAAAGAGAAATTAAAGCTGTATGTTTTCTTTAAAACTTAAGTAAATGATCTGTCCATTTTACTGTTTCCCTGGATTTACCTTTGTTTCACTTAATTCATGTAGCTTCATCTATATCTATTATAAACTATGTCCATATGCTCTCATTTTCAAGTTCTCCTACTGCTTTCACTTGCTATGTGTGCACTGTTTGAGGGATAATCTAAAAGTATGATAGCTCATTCCAAAAGTGACATTCCAAGGTAATTGAGTATTCAATTTACATCTTAATATCTGAATCCCTGTGTGATTTTTCCCTCTGTAGTTTATACATATTGGTCACTGGCCTTTATATTTACAAAGTAGAATCTTACAGGAAATAAAAAGCATACATGTGTGTTAACGTTAAGAATCTGCTTGGCTTAGAATTTTTGCTGCACTAATTCTTAGCTCTGTAATCTTGTAAAGGTTATTTAATGTACCTGAGTCTCGATTTCCATATCTTTCAATGGGGTAAAATTATTCTTGATTTCTAGGACTCATGTGAATAACTGCTTTGAACAAAGCCTAGCATATGGTAAATGCTTGATAAGTATTAACCATCTCTTCCTTTTTCACCTTATTCTATCCTATTTATTTTCTCCTATATTCTCCTTCCTTTCTTCTTTCTCCCTCTCCACCTGCAAATCCATGGCTGGTGTCCAAAATGTTCATCTCAGTCAAGTACTATGTTTATCAAGGGGAGAAAAGAAATCTGAATCAATTATGCAAATATTAGCATAAATAATTGGCCTTTCATGAAGTTTCCAATTCTCCACTCTGTTACCAGTGCCATGATGAAGATGCAGGCTTTAATCAGAAATAACTTAGTTCAAATTAGATCCCATCACTCACTACTCGGCCTAAAACTTGGTATTTTGCATTCCTTACCCTCTTTAAGGCAAGGTTTCTCTGACTGGGAAAAGAACTAAGATATACCTCATCAGGCTATTGTGAAAATAAAACGTAAAATTCTTAGTGCAGTGTCTGCAAATAGAAAACTTTGGGGTAAGCATTACTTTTCAGACAATTCTGCCCCTTCCCTCAGTAGTAAACCATAAATAGTAGGGAAAAAAAAATCTCCCTTTCACAACACCTATGACAAGATCAGTAAGAGGACAACAGCAGTAAGTTTATTTGTAACTTTTTAAGTCCTTGTCTCCTCCTCACCAGTTCACTTTGAAATGCAGCCTGGTCAAGACAAACACAATCACTGCAGCAGGGATGTAACTCCTTCTGTCCCTCACACAATTCTTTGGTTATGACAACATGAAGCCAGAGATAATATAACCACTAGTATTTTTTGTCATTAAAAAAAAAATGGAAAAGTAGTACTTATAAACTTTATAAGTTCTTACAAATTACTTTGTATACTGACAAAAGAAACATATATATATGTATATATACATATATATTATCTTCCAAGATATATACATATCTTGGAAGATAATTTTTTTAAAAATGTTTCATTCACTTCTTGAAATTAACTGTAATAAACTAGACATGCTTAGTACAGCCAATAAATATTGATGTTTAATGAAAATAAGATGATGAATGTATATAGTTTCAAAGATATATTTTCAGAAATGGTTTGATGAGAGCTTTTTGAGAATAAGATGAAAATTTTGGAAAAAATAAAATCAGTCTATAAAACAAACCAATCTAAAGAGACAAATAGCCTGTTAAAAAAAGAGAGGAAAATTTAACTCTTCATAGAAAATTATAGTTGAAAATACACATATTAAATGAGTAACTATTGCTATAAAAGGTCAAATTCAAACAATATTTGAATGATTCTAAAGAAATAAAACATTTTCAGTCAATTTCTTTTAGGGTTAAATTTGCAGATGTAATGGAAAAAGCAATGTAAAAATATCAACTAAGAATCTGGTGAATGAAAAAAATACAATTTCTGAAAAAAGGAAGAAAAGCTAACCCAAGTATATCTGAATAACCGCTAACTACCTCCATTACTGAAAATTTTGCTAAATTAGACAAAATCTAATAAAAATTTCACAAACCACACTTTAACTTGAAATTTTAAAAAAAGGAATAGAAATACATTGCAATGTCAAAATGATACAAAATACATTAAACCATATAAAAAAGCAGTTCTAACCACAGCTAAAAAGATATCAGTACTTGAAAATTTGTGGTTTGTAAATTACACACCCTTAAATTACACATGCCTTTCAAAAGCAAGAACTCAGCTAACAAAAACCCAATCATAATATTCCTTTTTGTCAAGTTCAAAAAACACATACTACTTTAGTATGCTCATGTTTTCTAATAAAAAACAAATTGTTAATATCTGTAAAGTCCACTTATGATCATTTAAAGTTTGTTTATGGACAAATACTTACTGAGGTTACCAAGTTTAATAAACCTGTATATAAAAATCTCTCTTGAACTTGTACACAGAAATTTTTTCTGAGAAAACACTTATATGGGAAACAGTCTAATGTTACTGTATATATAAAGATTATATTAAAAAATGACTAATCTAAAAGAAGCAAAGATTTTTATACAATATTCTCATTGGTTACAAGTTCTAACTGCATTTTAATCTTTTCTTTGGGATTTTAGTTATATGCTAAAATTAATACTAACTGCAGCCCAAATCCACTATCTTTTAACTATTATAACAGACCCTAAAAACCTAGCAAGGATGAAAAATTTAAAAACATAATTAAACTTACCCCATTTAATGGATATGTTTTCCATCCTAGCTCTCCCAGCACAGTTGTTGTATCAAGTAACACAACTGGAATTAAAAAAAAAAAAAGTACATGAATTTCACAATTGATGTAAAAATGTTATTTAAATCATTAATGCCAACTATATTTACTATTACTCATTGCATTAATTTTAATATGCTGCATTACTTACTATAAAATTAACTGTATACTAAATACTAATGTAATAATAATACCAAGTCATGATAAAATACATGAGGTAATTATAACTTATTTTCAAAATATGTAACTTGTGTTTAACAATGCTAAATAATAAAACAGATAACTGAGAAACAGACCTAAAAGTCATTTTTAATAGCTGGCTTTTAAAACTGATAAATGTTGATGGGTAATCGAGATGATGTTACTGCCAGTTGACCCTTGAACTGGACCCAGGCATTAGGGGTCTCCTCACTCCCCTCCCCCATCCTCAGAATGTAAGCTCTGCCTGCTGTTTCCCTAGAGGGAGCTGGTTCCAAGGACATAGCCTTGAGAGAGCAACATGTTGTTGAGACCACGTGGATAGTATACATGAAGAACCCAGTTACCGCTTCTATGAAAACCTTAAGATTCTGGTGGGTGGGTGTGGAAATCTTGCAGCTGCCTGAGACAAGTAAGTTCCCTTGCTTATTAGCCCTCCCACCTACCAATCTGGAGTGGTCTGTTTCCTTCTGCACTCTCTCTTGGCTTCTGTGAACAGGGGGGCCAGTTTGGGGACAAATAATGAAATAATCATCTTTGTTTTCCCTACCACTTTCATATATAGTCTTTTTATACCACATTAAAGAAAGAAAAACTGTGTTAAAGCAGGTTTCTGTAGTTTTTTCATGTTACTAAATGCCCTTATATTTGATTTGCAAAGTATGAAAACAAGTCATTTTTTAATAAACCTACTATCTTTAAAGCATAGATTACATTATTATTGTACATGCAGGTATACTAACAGCTGAGGCAAATGCAAAAACAAAATCCATGCATCTTTTTCCCTGACCAAAAGTTACTCACAATCTGATCAAAACTCAGACATAAAAACAAATGATTAGAACATAGTCTGTTAAATTTTAAAATGGAAGATTATATAAAAGCCTAGCAATTAAGTTACATTAGAGCTAGTACGGAGGTCTGGGAGAATTTCACAAAGGAGATGCAATTTGAGCTGACCTAGGACAAAGGGACTTTCAATTAGATGTGATAAGAAACAAATGATTTACTTTTAGAATAAAGTAACCAAGCTATAACTAAATCATTTTTCGGTTGCTGGAATCAGGACTAAGAATGGGCATTATTTGCGGAACTAGCAGGATAGAAATGAGGTTGGAAAGTTAGAGATCGAATGGGGAGGATTTTTGTGGTGTTTCCAGCAAGATAAATGTGTAGGGTCCATGACTCAGACCTTTATTTTTAACTACTACCTCTAAATCCCCTAGATGCCAGTAGGCCACGGATTACAGTCTGAGAAACAATGCTTTAATATTTCATCATGAGTTTTAGATCTTCACATAGTTAAGAAGTGGGGTTTTCTATTTGTAGTTTTAAAAAGTTCCACTGAAAGTATGCTATTTGGTGTCTATTGTAAGGATTCTGTGGTTTTTCTTATTTGAATCACTATGTTTTATTCATTTTTAAAAAGATTTTACTTATTTGACAGAATGAAGGAGATCACAAGTAGGCAGAGAGACAGGCAGAGAGAGAGGGGAAGCAGGTTCCCTGCTGAGCAGAGAGCACAATGTGGGATAAGTATAAAGCCATACATCAATTTCTGAGATAAACACTAATTACTCATTGTAGAATATTCTTTCAGTAATGTTAAAATGAGTTTACTAAATATACATTTGTAAAACTGAACTGTAATTTTTTAAATTTTATTGTGAAAAATTCTCAAACATATTTTAGAATGTAGATGAAAAACAGTAAAATGAGCCCTCATGCACTCATCACCCAGATTCACTAATTACCAACATACAATCCTCATCTATATATCTTTACCTACTCTCTTACTGAAGAATTTCTTTGAAGCAAATTCCAGTAATAATCATCTATAAAAATGTAGTGTATATTTATGATAAAGACTCCCTTTAATATAGTGATAATATCTTAGTTTATTACTATAAATAGCAATTCCTTAATATCATCAAATATCCAGTGTTTAATATCCCTATAGTCTCAACTTAACTTGAACAGAAAAATCAAGGTCCAAGTAAATGCAATCCATTGCAGTGAGTTGATATTATTCTTTGTTTTTTTTAAACTATAATTTCCCTCATTAACTTTTTTAAAGTTAGATTTATTGAGGTTATGGTTTACTTATTATTTAAAAATTCACCCTTTTAAAATGTACGTTTCTACGAATTGTGACAAACTCCCACATCCATGTAACCCCTGCTACAATCAAGCTATGGAATATTTCCATCACCTCTAAAATTTCCCTTGTGACCTTTATAGTGAATCCCTTCCACAGTCCAGCCACTGGCAACCACTGATTTAATTTTGTCCCTATGATTTTTCCTTTCCCAAAATGTCAAACCAACAAAATCATATAGCATGAAACCTTTTGAGTCTGGTTCTTTCATGTAGCCTAATGCATTTGAGATTCATCTATGTCGTTGCACGTATCAATGGTTGGCTTTTTACTGCTGAAAGTATTCTGTTGTATGGAATTCCCTACTTGATGCAAATGTGAGCTATTTCCAGTTGGGAATGTTATAAATTAAACCAGTATAAACTTCCATGTATAGATTTTTTTTTTTTTTTTAAGATTTTGTTTATTTGACAGACAGAGATCACAAGTAGGCAGAGAGGCAGACAGAGAGGAAGGGAAGCAGGCTCCCTGCTGAGCAGAGAGCCCGATATGGGGCTAGATCCCAGGACCCTGGAATCATGACCCGAGGCGAAGGCAGAGGCTTTAACCCACTGAGCCACCCAGGCGCCCCTCCATGTATAGATTTTTATATGACCTTAGACTTTTACTTCTCCATGGTAATAGGGAATTCCTGGGCTATAGGGAGAACGTTTTTTATTTATTTGTCAGACAGAGAGAGAGGACACGCAAAAGCAGGTGGAGTGGCAGGGAGAGAGAGAAGCAGATGCCCTACTGAGCAAGGAGCCTTATGTGGGATTTGATCCCAGGATCTTACGGTCATGACCTGAACCAAAGGCAAAGGCTTAACCAACTGATCCACCCAGGTGTCCTAAGAATGCTTATTTTTAAGAAACTGCCCAATTGTATTTCAAAATGGCATTAGCAGAATATGGTTTTCCAGTTGCTTCACATCCTTAGCAGGATTTGGTCTTGTCCAGCTTTTTTTTTTTTTTTTTTTAAGATTTTATTTATTTATTTGACAGAGAGAGACACAGCAAGAGAGAATGCAAGCAGGGGGAGTGGATAAGGGAGAAGCAGGCTTCCTACTGAGCAGGGAGCCCTGTGTGTGGCTCAATCCCAGGACCCTGGGATCATGACCTGAGCCAAAGGCAGAGCCTTAATGACTGAGCCACCAGATGCCCCAATGTATTGTCCAGTTTTTTAAAGGCATTCTAAGAGATGTGTGATGATATTTCATTGTTTTTTTACATATTTCATCAATTACTAGCCAGTTATCTTTTTCACTCCTTGAAATCAAATTTACTAAAAAAAAAAAAAAAGGTTATTTTGTCCCACATTCTAGGTTTTTCTAGTTGTGAGATACCATTCAACATGTCCCCTATTCCCTTTATTTTCTTTAAATTGGTAGATTTAGTAGCTTGATCAGATTCAAGGAACATACCAATATCTACTAGGGTCATGTCAAAAAGACTTGGGAACCAAATTTCATAGGCTTTCACTGGCCAAAAATGGATAATGTAATCATACACACAAGGTTAATGCATTCATAATGATTCATAATGATAAAATATACCTACCGATAACTTTTGCAGAATACTAAGAAAGCATTATATTTTAAAAACTGGTAAGCAATCTGAAAACAATAAAACATTTATTTTGCTTTTTCTATATAAACTACTTATGAATAAAGAAATAGTTAATGAAGGACCATTTCTCTTATTGAAATAGTTCAGGTAATAAAAGAAGGAATGACTGAATTAGGCTATCTCATTTTCTACTCCTAATGAATTAATATATTTAGCTAATGGTTTTCAATGGCTGCTTGCATCACCTAAAGAGAAAAAAGGACACATAAAAGGCTAGAGCTTTTTAAAAAGTTTCCTTTATAGTTTCATTTATTTCCTATTAACATACAATTCTAACAAGCCTGGAAGTAAAAGAAAGTACAATAAAGATGATATATACATATATATGTATATGTCATATATACAAACCCACACACACATATATATATACATTCATTCTCACACACACACACAAATTATACAAAAATATTTGATGGGATTTGGGTTCACTCAGTATAGCAATCTCACATGTTAGATAAAAAAACTAAAGGTATCATTATAATAAATACTCAAAGCTAAAAGTTTATCTCATTATCAAATGAAAGTTATTTTCACTTTTGGTATATGCTACTGAAAGTAATTCAGAAGTATTAAAGACCAGCATGCAGTTCTGGATACTCAAAAGTTCAATGTAACTCATTTAGCACATTTATACTTTTGAAATACATCATTATTTCCCTGCAGGCTGGCAAAATAATGATACTAATTCACAGTCACCATAGGAAGAATTTTCTATGTTATTTTCTTCTTGATGTAATCACCACATTGTCCTAAAAGTTCTTTCGTTTTTAAAATACCCAACTAACAGATGAGAAAACTGACCTTCAGAAGGTTAAGTAGTTTTCCTTGATATCAGAAACAGATTTGGATTCCAACCGAGGAGACTGATGCTAGACTGTCCTTTGTATGTCCTTTAATGTTGTAAAACATTTATAACCTTTAAATTTAAGTGTTTTTCTTCTTACCCTTTATAAAAGTTTTTAATTTAAATTCCACTTCGTTAACATAGAGTGTAATATTAGTGTAAGGTGTACAGTACAGTGATTCAACATTACCATACAACACCTGGTACTCATCACAAGTG